TCAGAGGTTGACCTGCTAGACCTTCTCATGTCCCTTCTCTCAGACCTTCCCAGGGGCAAATGTGGCATCAGCCTCACTCTGACCCCTAGTGTGAGCTTGTGCTGCTTGTCACTTTCACTCATGGCACTGCCTTTACAACATTTTACTCATCATAGCTCAACTACTATTATAATATGCATATGATCTGTTTAAAAAGGGAAAATCCATAAATGCAACCAAAAATACAAAGTCTGAAAATCAGTGACAGTAAATGAAATTCTACAAGTGAAAATACCTAGTCTCATTTGTTCCAAATATATTTTCAAGATCCAATATCTACACCCACACTTAATAATCTTGTTACAATTAGCCATTAAAAAACTTTATGTAACATGACATTAAGACCTACATACTTACCATTTGTATCAATTCCTTGCATTTTGTCTTGAAATAGGTGAGCATCCCTCAGTGCTTTTCCTATTGCTGGAAGGAGGAGGGAGGCAGAGACAGAGGAGGATTAATGAATGTCCTATAAACAAAAGTTACTTCCATCACATAGATATTATTACTGCTCAGCTCTACTCAATCATTGTTACTTCTATTTGAGCCACACACGGATAGCCACTCGCTTAAAATCAGTAAAGTTGTGGAGAATATGGTGAGATGACAGTGCCTGATAAAGGACTACATGGCATGATCAGTTCATATGTCATAAAATAATCTACTCAATTCAGCTATCAGTTCATATAATTAATAGTTGGTGCACACTTTGAAGTTATGACATCCTCGCGTTTACTCTGTATCAGCTTCGCTGATGGTTGGTTGCTCACAAGAATTATTCACTGGATATTTTTAGGTAGGCTTGGGCGAAGGTTCGATTATTGATGTGATGAGCCTATCCACAACTTTGTTTATTAAGGGAATATTCATTAATCTTCTGTCCTCACTTCACTACCCTTTCAAGTCCTTTCGCCGAGACAACTCAGAAACACAGTGGCCACTAAAGAGTTGGTGTCCACATCCAACTGAATCTAGTTTCATCTCAGAGCCGTCCTCTGTAGTAACTGTTAAACATAACTACAGGCGTATTTCATTTCAATATTGAGGCATACACATTGTATTATAATACGAGGATGTTCCATATTGACGATCTGTAATCGCGGAACATCTCAAGGATATACAAAGGGTTGTTAATGGTGTATCTTCGGCTTTTGGGAACTCATAGTCTTATCAGAGGTTTTGATCGGTGCTTAACAAGACTCTACCGCGCTTCTCATGTCCTTTCTCTCATGACCTTCCCCGGGGCATCGCCTCACTCTGACCCCTAGTGTGAGCTTGTGGCTGCCTGTCACTTTATCAGCTAACACATCGGAACTGCTTTACATTTTACTCATCATAAGGGCTGCAATGCTATAATAGATTGATACTTCATTCATAATACACTAGCCCTTGCACTTGAGCCTAGAATAATCATTTCTACATTTTCTATATCAGCCATATGGTGATCTGTTTAAAAAAGAGAAATCCCATAATGCAAACACCTAAGAAATATCAAAGTCCTGAAGAATTCAGCTCGACAGTAAAAATGAAATTCTAGAATGTACAAGTATACTCTATCATTTTGTTTCTAGTAGTCCATTATCTGGCTCTCTGGCTCTCGCTCTCCTCTCTCTCCTCTCATCCTCTCACTCCTCTTCTTTACCCCCCCTCACATGGCCCCGCACTGTCCATGGTAGCATTCAAGTTCTATTAAATGGGTACTTCTTAAAGGTTTCCCCGTTTCCCCCCATCAACCCCAAGCAAGAATACAAATGTGGTATGTAGTCTTAATTTGTCATGTTACAATAAAGGTTTTTTAATGGCTAATTGTAAAAGATAAAGTGTGGGTGTAGATATTGTATCTTTATTGAAATATTTGGAACAAAATGAACCTAGGTTATTTTTTCAACTTTCTAGGCATTTCATTTACTGTACTTTGGATCTTCAGACATTGGTATTTGTTGGCATTTTTTTTTTCTCCTCCCTCTTTCGCTTTCTGCTTCCTCTCTATTCGGATGTTTCTTCTCTATCCTCCCCTTTGACTATCCTTTTATCAAATTGGTTAAATTCAATAAGAAAAGGGAAATAGAATATGGTAAGCAATGCAGTTCTTATTCTTGTTGTATATAAAGCTTTGTTGGGAATATTTTGTAATATGATTATTAACTATTGGTGCAAATGTTAGATCCACTGAAAAATGTACTTGAAATAAATGATGGGACTCGAATTTCACAGTTGCTGTTCCACTGGTTTACCATCATTGACTTTTGAGGTTTTTGTTAAGCCTGCATTGATAGACTTTGCATTAAAGATTCACCATAGCATGGTGATGGAAGATCCAGAATGAGTTTTTCAGTTTTAAGTGCAAGGTATGTATTATGAATGAAGTATCATGGTATTATATTAGTTGAGCTATGATGAGTAAAATGTTGTAAAGGCAGTTTGTGTATAAAGTGACAAGGCAGCACAAGCTCACACTAGGGGTCAGAGTGAGGCTGATGCCACATTTGCCCCTGGGAAGGTCTGAGAGAAGGGACATGAGAAGGTCTAGCAGGTCAACCTCTGAGAAGAGGGCAGAACACCAGACATCCTTTTGGATCCTTGTTGTTTACTGTGTCAAGGACACCTATTTATTATGTGAGTAATGTGTAGGTGGAGATGCGTGAACATCATTGGTTGGAAAGGCACTGTGTCCAGCTTAATTTAGTGTGATGTGTGAGGTGACAGTTGTCATAACTCAATTCAGACTATTCTGTATTGCCAAGTCCTTTATCAGCTGCTGATGGTTGTTGGCCAAATGTACAATGATTATGAGAGCTGAGCAGTTAGATTTTTAAAGTTTTGGAAGTACTTGTGATTTATAGAACATTTATTAATCTCATGTTATTTTCAGCAATAAGAAAAACACCGTGAGAGATGCTCAAGTTCTATTTCAAGATTGGAAATGCAAGGAAAAAAAAATAGAATCATGGTAAGCATGCAGTTCTTATTATTGTGTATATAAAGGTTTGAATTGGGAATATTTTTGTAATATGATTATTAACTATTGGTGCAAATGTTAGATCCACTGAAAAATGTACTTGAAATAAATGATGGGACTCGAATTTCACAGTTGCTGTTCCACTGGTTTACCATCATTGACTTTTGAGGTTTTTGTTAAGCCTGCATTGATAGACTTTGCATTTTAAACAGATTCACCATAGCATGGTGATGGAAGATCCAGAATGAGTTTTTCAGTTTTAAGTGCAAGGTATGTATTATGAATGAAGTATCATGGTATTATATTAGTTGAGCTATGATGAGTAAAATGTTGTAAAGGCAGTTCCATGTGTAGTGATAAAGTGACAAGGCAGCACAAGCTCACACTAGGGGTCAGAGTGAGGCTGATGCCCCTGGGAAGGTCTGAGAGAAGGGACATGAGAAGGTCTAGCAGGTCAACCTCTGAGAAGAGGGGCAGAACACCAGACATCCTTTTGGATCCTTGTTGTTTACAGTGTCAAGGACACCTATTTATTATGTGAGTAATGTGTAGGTGGAGGTGCGTGAACATCATTGGTTGGAAAGGCACTGTGTCCAGCTTAATTTAGTGTGATGTGTGAGGTGACAGTTGTCATAACTCAATTCAGACTATTCTGTATTGCCAAGTCCTTTATCAGCTGCTGATGGTTGTGGGCCAAATGTACAATGATTATGAGAGCTGAGCAGTTAGATTATTATGTGATGGAAGTACTTTTGTTTTATAGGACATTCATTAATCCTCCTCTGTCTCTGCCTCCCTCCCTCCTTCCAGCAATAGGAAAAGCACTGAGAGGGATGCTCACCTATTTCAAGACCCAAAATGCAAGGAATTGATACAAATGGTAAGTATGTAGGTCTTAATGTCATGTTACATAAAGGTTTTTAATGGCTAATTGTAACAAGATTATTAAGTGTGGGTGTAGATATTGGATCTGTTGAAAAATATATTTGGAACAAATGAGACTAGGTATTTTCACTTGTAGAATTTCATTTACTGTCACTGATTTTTCAGACATTGTATTTTTGGTTGCATTTATGGATTTTCCCTTTTTAAACAGATGACCATATGCTGCTAGAAAATGCAGAATGATTATTCTAGCTTGAAGTGCAAGGTATGCATTATGAATGAAGTATCATGTTATAGTAATTTGAGCTATGATGAGTAAAATGTTGTAAAGGCAGTGCCATGTAGTGATAAAGTGACAAGGCAGCACAAGCTCACACTAGGGGTCAGAGTGAGGCTGATGCCACATTTGCCCCTGGGAAGGTCTGAGAGAAGGGACATGAAGGTCTAGCAGGTCAACCTCTGAGAAGAGGGGCAGAACACCAGACATCCCTTTTGGATCCTTGTTGTTTACAGTGTCAAGGACACCTATATATTATGTGAGTAATGTGTAGGTGGGTCATAGGTTCTTGAGGCTCTTTGTGTCGTGCGGCGCAATTAGTCCGTGTTAATATATTTTTTCATAGATCCAATGATGTACACAACACTTATTAATTCTTGTTACAAATTATTAGCAATTCAAACCTTTATGTAACACAGCATGAAGAACTCATACTTACCATTTGTATCCGTTTCTTGCATTTTGGGTCTTGAAATAGATCAGCATCCCTCTCAGTGCTTATAACATACTGCATAGCATACCACGTGGTTCACATCTATACGGCATGAATATAGCATACTGCATACCATACCATATGGTCCACATCTATACCGCATGGTCAGCTACGGTTGCCATGTGTTACTCATGTGTAATTACGCTTAGCCCAGTCCACGCTGGTGCCTTCAATACACTGCGAGCCAAGGGGCATATAAGGTAACCAGGCTGACCCAAGGATCTCATTCTCTCACAACTCAACGAGCTGGCCCTTGACCCGGGAGTGACCACTTACCCGCGGTCGGCCATTCAGCCTGCCTCTCCGGCGGCTTGGCTTGGTTCTACACTCAGCACTGAGCGCCAGCATCCGTAGTGTTCTTCTATCTCATATTGCGTTCTCTTCAATAAAATGTGAAGCTAATCACTGTATCACTAGCTGCCACCAGTAATTCAAGCTACACTATATAGAAGGCCTTTTATCATCTTTTATAGTGCTTTTCCTATTGCTGGAAGGAGGGAGGGAGGCAGAGAGAGAGAGGAGGATTAATGTCCTATAAAACACAAGTACTTCCATCACATAATAATCTAACTGCTCAGCTCTCATATTCATTGTACATTTGGCCAACAACCATCAGCAGCTAATAAAGGACTTGGCAATACAGAATAGTCTGAATTGAGTTATGACAACTGTCACCTCGCACATCACACTAAATTAAGCTGGACACAGTGCCTTTCCAACCAATAATGTTCACGCATCTCCACCTACACATTACTCACATAATATATAGGTGTCCTTGACACTGTAAACAACAAGGATCCAAAAGGATGTCTGGTGTTCTGCCCCTCTTCTCAGAGGTTGACCTGCTAGACCTTCTCATGTCCCTTCTCTCAGACCTTCCCAGGGGCATCAGCCTCACTCTGACCCCTAGTGTGAGCTTGTGCTGCCTTCTCACTTTATCACTACAAATGGAACTGCCTTTACAACATTTTACTCATCATAGCTCAACTACTATAATACCATGATACTTCATTCATAATACATACCTTGCCCTTGAAGCTAGAATAATCTCATAATCTCATATCAGGTTCTCTTCAATAAAGTGTGAAGCTAATCAGTGTATAACTAGCCACTATCAGTAATTCAAACTACACTATATAGAAGGCCTTTTATCACCTTTTATAGTGCTTTTCCTATTGCTGGAAGGAGGGAGGGAGGCAGAGAGAGAAGAGGATTAATGAATGTCCTATAAAACACATGTACTTCCCTCACATAATAATCTAACTGCTCATTCATAATACATACCTTGCACTTGAAGCTAGAATAATCTCAGAATCTCATACTGCGTTCTCTTCAATAAAGTGTGAAGCTAATCAGTGTATAACTAGCTGCCACAAGTAATTCAAGCTACACTATAAAGAAGGCCTTTTATCACCTTTTATAGTGCTTTTCCTATTGCTAGAAGGAGGGAGGGAGGCAGAGACAGAGGAGGATTAATGTCCTATAAAACACAAGTACTTCCATCACATAATAATCTAACTGTTCAGCTCTCACATTCATTGTACATTTGGCCAACAACCATCAGCAGCTGATAAAGGACTTGGAAATACAAAATAGTTTGAATTGAGTTATGACAACTGTCACCTCACATATCACACTAAATTAGGCTGGACACAGTGCCTTTCCAATCAATGATGTTCACGCATCTCCACCTACACATTACTCACATAATATATAGGTGTCCTTGACACAGTAAACAACAAGGATCCAAAGGGTGTCTGGTGTTCTGCCCCTCTTCTCAGAGGTTGACCTGCTAGACCTTCTCATGTCCCTTCTCTCAGACCTTCCCAGGGGCATCAGCCTCACTCTGACCCCTAGTGAGAGCTTGTACTGCCTTGTCACTTTATCAATAAACATAGCACTCCCTTCACTTTTTATTCATCATAGCTGAAGTACTGTACTAGCATGACTCACAACTCATAATACATATCTTGTACATAAAGCTTGAATATTCATTCTTGATCTTTCATTAGTGTGGTATGGTGAATCCATTTAAGAATCCATATCCATGAATGCAAGCCTAACAGAAATCTGGAGATGCATTTGAAGAGCAACTGTGAAATTCCAGTCTTTTCATTTGTTTCAAATATCTTTCAGTGGATCTTGAACTTTCACCAATAGTCATTAATTAGAAATCATTGGCAATTCAAACATTTAGATAGATATAAACATTATCAACTGCATGCTTACTGTGAGTTAATCTCTTTTCTTCCTTGCATTTTGCATCTGGAAATATAAATACGGCATCCCTCACAATGCTTATCCTATTGCTGAAAATAGGATTAATGAATGTTCCATAAAATACGAATACTTCATTTTAATATCTAAATTCTCAGACCTCAAAATCCTTCATCGTGTGGCCCACAACCATCAGCAGGTAATAAGGACTTGGCTACACAGAATAGTCTGAATTGAGTTATGACAAGTCACCTCACACATCACATTAAATTGAGCTGGACACAGTGCCTTTCTAACCAATGTTGTTCACCTATATCCACCTGCACATTACTTAATATCTATTGCCAACAAGAAGGATCCAGAAAGGCATCTGGTGTTCTGCCCCTCTTCTTTGAAGTTGCCCTGCTACAGCTTCTCAGGTCTTCCTAAGGGCAAATGTAGCATCAGCCTCACTCTGATTCCTTATGTGAGCTTGTGTTGCTTTGTCACTATCATTACATGTGGCCCTGCCTTCACAAGTTTGGTCAAGTTTTATTTCTGACTAAATACAGATTTATCTAAAGTATTTGGCATAGTTTGCAGGTTTGAAGAACAGCTGAACAGAAAACTATTGTCAGGAGGGGTGTCGTACCAGTCAGCACCAAACAAATCTTAGGATATGGGAGGCCTGGTATTTTTGGTTTCAAATGTCTCATTCTGATTCTTTCTCCAATAGTCTTTCCAGAATTCATATGTGGGAGATTATTACTTTATTTCCATAGGGGATGGAATATGCTTGCAATATTCAAATAGGCCACACATACCCAAAAGTTGTTGGAAAATCAGGGATAGTAAATTTTGTAGCATATTTAAAAAAAAGTACCCTTGCTTCTGTCAGAATGTATAGCATGATTTTCAAACAATATTTTTCTGTATAGCTGTACACTACTCAAATATAACCATTGTCTGCTTTGTTTTCTGAGTAACTGAAAAACTTAAAGCATGAAAAATTTAGGACTCATAAATCATTAACCAAGGTACAAAATTTGGCTAGTGGGCCATTAACATAGGGTTGTTGCCACAGATAGCTTTTATTTGCACCCAGCTCATTCAGCAGTTGGTGGGCAACATTAGGCACCCAACAGCTTTTATTTTGATATTTAAAAAATAATCAAAATGTGAAGGCTTACGTTCAATTTAGGTAATACTGCCTTAAAGTTTTTATCATAAAATCAAAGGCACAACTATCAAAGAAAAACAAACTCCATCTCCACTCTGATGAGTGTGCAGCTTGTAGGTGGCACACATGAACACTTGTGTGGTGACAAGAAACCATGCCTCCCTTTTGCAATGTTAATATCTCTTTCTGTATTAGCACTTTTAGCTTTTCTACCATTTTCAAGTGCCTGTGTCATCTGAATTGCTGGGAATGTTTATTTATCCGGGTATCACATATGTGGGACACCCGTCGTATGTGGGTTAAATTGCATCAATATTAATTTTCCTGTAATACAACCTGCACTGCTGGCAGTCAGGAATAGGATGCTGAGCATGAAAATAGCAGCCTCTCAGGAGCCAGCGCTCTTCCAATCATGGCTCACAGATAGTACATTCCATTCTACTATTGATGGAAATAATGCAAAAACACCTTCCTAATTGCCAAATGAGTCAAATTACCTTCCAAGAGGATTGTGTACAATTGAGATCATTCCCATCACCATGCCCTTTCAGTTGAAATGCTCGGAAAGAGGCGAGTTTGTTTCACCTCAGCCCACAGCCAAATTACAAGTAGAAGTACTTATGGGGCATATTGTTAGATGCCATAACTTAAGGATACTCAGAAAAATAGGTGATGGGAAGATGGTCATTATAATGAATCCTGGATATCTTTATCATGAAGTAATATAACATTAAGTGAAATTGAGCAAAACTTGGCAATCATTTTGTCTGATTTTGATTATCAAGATAAGCAACTTTATTCTATTCCCTTTTAACTATCTATATATTTTATTTATTTATTTTTCATTTTTTAAGTACATATCCTAGGAAGTCTGTTCATTCTGACTTCCAAGTGGATGCATTTTAATCTTTTCTTTACCATAACCATGAAAAGAAAAGTTTTACTTTTACTTTTTCCTACTACACCTTCCAACTAGATATAAATAAAGTAAGCACTCACCGGCCTATAAAATAAACCCCACTGCTTGGGAATATTGCATACATACATACAAAATATATGTTATCTACCAGTCTTCATTTCTCATTTAAGTGCAAATAAGCAAATATACAAATATATAAA